TAATGAGTTAAGATCTTTTTTTATACAATACGCCTGAGTATTTTTAGGTCTGCCTCTTTCTTTCTTAACATAAGTTGAATCTAAAACAGTTAGTCTTTGAACCAGATCATCAAATGGTCGACATTTAATGTGACCAAACCATCTAAGACGACTCTCTCTAATCTTGTTTGCCACTAAAGCTACACCAACCTTATCATCAATATATTCATTTTGTATTTTATCTCTAAATATCAAGCCATTCATCCACCTAAGCCATTTTCATCTCAGCAACGCTTAACTTTGTTTTATGCTGCTTTTTTAAAGGCCAGCAATCTGTGCCATAGAATATTGCAGGTTTCACCACCATCTTATAAAATTTTCCTTCCTGTCTTAGCAGTACTTTTCAATCACATAATTGCCCTGATGCATTCCTCCATTTCAACAAACCAACTTAAATTCTACTGTTTTCCTTCCTGTCTTAGCAGTAATTTTCAATCACATAATTGCCCTGATGGATTCCTCCATTTCAACAAACCAACTTAAATTCTACTTATAACATCTCCATACATATCACTATCAATTATAACAAGACCCGAGATGACTAAAACGTTCACATCTTTTAATGATTTGATCACCCATAATTACAACTCTGCTACTAAAGCTACTAGTACTAAAATTATCTTCCATTTGTTCAGTTTTAGCTCTACTCAAACAGAGGGCTTTAGACTCCAATGTAGCATAATTCAAGTTTTTCTAAACTCTTTCTCTAGTATTATCCACAAAAAGGACATCATCAACGAAAAACATACATCAAGGTACATCCTCCGATAAATGTCGAGTAACAACATACATAACTAAAGCAAAAAGATATGGGCTTAAAGTCGGTCTCTCCAATTGAAATAGAAAAATAACTGGTCAATCCTCCTTCTGTTCTAACACTAGTAACAGCTCTAGTATACATTTCTTTAATGACTTGAATATAAGCCCTATCAATACCTTTCTTCTCTAGAACTCTCAAAAGCACTTCTCTTGGAATCTTATATTAAGCTTTTTCTAAATCAATAAAAATTATATGTAGATCCTTCTTATTCTCTGTACTCCTCCATCAAACCTCTCAATAAATGTATAATTTCCATAGTAGACCTAATAGACAAATCCAAACTGATTATGAGAAATTTTTGTGTCACGTCTTAACTTATGTTGAATTACCCTATCCCATAATTTTAAAATATGACCTATCAACTTATTCCTCTATCATTTGCACAACCTTGTGCATCTCTTTATTATGGGGACCACAAGACTTATCCTCCACTCCTCAGACATCTTTTT